AAATTCAAAGCAGCAAAACATGCGGAAATGATCCAGGGTTTCCGCGGATCATTAAAAATAATTACAATTCATTAATTTTTTGGGGATTTTTTCATTAATTTTTATTAATTTTTTTATTTTTAACAATCAACATATACCGAACCAAACCGAAAACCGTGACCACGACACCGTGAACCGAACCGAACCGTGGATTTTGTGAACCGTTCCACCCCTAGTATTTACCATTAATTTGAGTAGGTGAATAAGATGACTTGCTAATGGAATGAGTATTTTTACTTTTAAAGTAAGATAATGACTTTACTGGTGTTTCCTGTTAACTAAATGTGTTTTTCTTTCTGTGGGACAAAAAAAAAAATACAGGAGCTAAAAGATCAGACCCAGGAATGCCACGCTCAGAGCAAAGACCTGGCTTCCCAGACGATCGGCGGGATCCGAACAGTCCGCAGCTTCAATGCAGAGAAAGAGGAACTCAGGAGGTACCTTGTGGCCCTGGAAGAGCTGTGCTCCATCAAGAGGCGATCAGCAATATTCAGCGCAGTTTATCTTGTCATACGAAGGGTGAGGCATTTTTAACTGTGGCATATATTTGGTCCAACTGTGGTTTATTTGTATTTTTTACTACTGTTGGGATTAATACCTGTTTTTTTTTTCTCTCTTTGCATCCAGGTGGTGTCTCTGGGTATAAAGATATTAATGCTGATCCAAGCCAGACGCCTCATCTCTTCTGGTCAGCTCAGCATCGGTAATCTGGTGTCGTTTTTCCTGTACCAGAAGCCCATGTCAGTCAATCTAAGGGTGAGCTCCGTTTAAGGTACTTCATAGGTTTGAGATTTTACGAAACAGCTGGATTTTACTGATGGGGAAATTTTTTTTTGTCACAGGAGATCATGTATTGCTATGGTGAGACGATGTCCACAGTAGGAGTCATTTCCAAAGTGCTCAGTTACCTTGACAGGACACCAAAAACTAAAGAGGAAGGAAACCTGGCTCCTAAGGTGTTGGAGGGGAGAGTCGTTTTCCAAAACATCAATTTTAGTTATCCATCTGCTCCTTCAGAAAAAGCGGCTTTAAAGGTATAATTTTTTGTGGTTCTTAAACAGCCCTAATAAATCTTAAATTTGCCTACTGAAGGTCACACAAACAATAAGATAGTGTTTAGACAGATGCTAAAGACTGGAAACAGAGCAGATCATCTCTGTGCTGATTCTTCCTCCACAGTCGGTGTCGTTGGAAATCCGCCCAGGGAAGATCACTGCGCTGGTTGGTCCATCTGGCGGTGGAAAGAGTTCCTGCGTCAGCCTGCTGAAGAGGCTGTATGAGCCTCAAGACGGTCAAATCCTGCTGGACGGCAAGCCGCTGCACTGTTACCAAGGAAAATACTTCCATCAGAAGGTACAATTGTTTAGCTGAGAAAGTTTAAAAAGGAAATTTTAATTTCCTTCAAAGTCTAAATTAAGCGACTGAAGAACCGGGTGGATGGAATGACATAACTACTGTTTTTGACATGAAGCATTCATTAGGTGTCATTTTCAGACTAATGGAAACTAGAACGCAGAAAACATTTATTTCCATTCATTTTTCATTGTTTGGAAATCCATCCATCCTTCAACTTATTTATTATCCATAAATGCAGCGGTTCAGACTTCTTGTTAAAATGAGAGGATCAGAAAAAAACTGGGGAAAAAGGCTCAACTTGTCCTTGAGAAATATGCTGATCTTTTCTGTTCACATAGGTGGCATTGGTTTCCCAGAATCCTGTGCTGTTTTCTGGTTCCCTGAAGTATAACATAGAGTATGGTTTGGAGAAACCTCCTCCAGAGGAGAAGGTGAAAGAGGTCGCCAGGAAGATCGACGCTCACAAGTTCATCTCTGAAATGGAGAATGGCTACGACACAGGTACTGAGCTGGTGTATGGACCTCATCCGCTGATAATGTTAGTGTTACGTCCATTATTGATATCAATACAGTATGTCTGATGTTGAACAATAAACCATTTTTTGGTCATTTATACATCACTGTAGAACAGAAAGAGGACAGCCATGGGCCCTAAGCGGGGTTTTTAGTTAGCCGGTCAGTTTTAATAGTTTTGGAAATAACTTTATTTTCCATTTTTAGAAGATGGACTAAACTGTGATATTATTTTATAGCCTTAATATACTTCCAACTTCACTGTTCTGCCCCTGACCTGTCTGATGTGTTTCTTAGTCTTCTTCAGTGTAATGCTACGTTGTGTTTGGCTATCCCTTACACATTCAGCCAATCATTTAGAAAGGAATGACAAATCTGTGGGCATGCAAGTGGAACAGTGTTTAGTTCGCATGACTTATGTACGGAGGCCTTAGTCCTTGATGCGGCTGACCCGGGTTTGAATCCGGCCTGTGGTCCTTTGCCGCATGTCTCTCCCCCTCTCTCTTCCCCCTTTCCTGTCAGCCTACTGTCAGAAAAATGAGCCACTAGTGCTGTAAATACTCAAAAAAAAAAAAAAAAAGAGATCACTCGGGAAAAACTCTTTAAATCACACTTCATAACGTATATGTATTAAATAACCAGGAGACATGACAACAGATATTCTGATAGAACAGAAGTCACGGAGTAGCGGACCACGGTCCGGATCCGGACCCACCTGCTGGCTAATCCAGACCCAACCTGATTTAAAACATTAATAAATTACTGCATGTTGCCCGACAACGGTGTCTAATTTCACTTGCACTGCTTCACCTGTTAATACGGTAAAGCCCTCCAGAGCGTCCGGCACCAGGCTACATGTTATACAAATTAGCCAACTAGCTGCTGTCAGTCTGGGTTGCTGCTGCTGCTACTTTTAGACACAGCAGGCAAACCTGTGACATGCCGGGCGATGGGAAAGAAGGAGAAGATGATGAGAAAAAGAGAGCAGAGTAAGTGTGAACAACTGGAAGAACTGCGGTGAACTGGTGAAAGAAAAGTGAAATGGTGTGCTCAAAGATGTCCCTAAACCAGGGGTCTTCAACCTTTCATATCCAAAGAGCCATTTTGCCCAGAGTACGACCAAATAAAAGTTGTTTAGAGCTGCAAAATTTTTCTAGAAAACCTTTTTTTTTTTAAATCTTGTATAGGAAATTAGTTATTGCCATCTCAAACAATCAATATATATATTCTTAATGTTAAAACGTATAATTTTCAAGCTAATTCATAGAAAAATGTCTCTTAAAACATATTTCTGGTTCTTTTAATGTCGTTCTTTTCCGTCTTATAAAAAACGCTAAAGCTATTGATACCCGTATATATTATAGTAAATAATTTAGCTATTTTTATACATTTTAGCCACTATTAAGAGCCGCTGGAGAGGGTCAAAAGAGCCTAATGTGGCTCCGGAGCCGCAGGTTGCAGACCCCTGCCCTAAACATTTAGAGGATGTTTGGCTCAACCTGCTGCTGTGAAGCAGGATTCTCCAACATGAACATAAAACAAAAATAAATATGGATCCAAGCTCAAAATGAGCACCTTGATATGTGCTTGAGAATGGCTTTGTCTCCATTCAAACCCAGGTTTAACCATTTATAGGGCAAGTTACCGTTTTTGATCACTTGCCTTACAAATGGAGTCCCCCCCGTCCCTCAGTGAGTTCTAGAAGCACAAAATCTATATCCAGCCATTCAGCAAAGATACTGCTACATGGCTGTACATCTTATTTTGGCATTTGAACATTTACATAATCCCATGAATGCTATATTACCTGCTGCAAATTAACTTGGCAAAAAAAGTGATAAAGTCAAGAAAGAATTAAAAAAGTTAATTGAAAAGTTAAAAAGTGAATAGGCCTAGTTATCAATTATATTTAGGTTTATAAACTAAACAATCTAAGGGTATGTTGAACCAAAAAAAAAATATGTTTGTTTCACTCTCAGAGTGTTTGTGTTTTTTCCTTAATATGTTTGGGCAAGTTGGCGTTTCAAGTTATTACACTGACATTACATTTTACCATCAAAATATCCATATTTTTTTAATTTCGCAAAGGAAAAAAGGTCTTGTCCTGGATCCCAATAAAATAAATCATTTTCAAAGTATTTCACTGAGCGCCCTATAAAGGTTTAAAGCCTTGCAGGGCAGCCTAAAGCCCACTGCTCTCATTAAGAAAGTAAAAATAAAGAAAAATAAGAAACGGTTAGTTTAGGTGTTTTATAAAATATGTGAATCAGGAAATTGTCTATATTCCCAACTCTACATAAAAAAAACTTTACTGGTTGATGATTTTCTTTATTCGGACCCCAATGATTTTTAATTGGTTTAATAGGCTGTGATAGAAATTGTAATCTTACTCAGATCAGAGAACTTGCTTAGATTTTACAGAAGGCAGCAGCTCTCCTCGGGGCTCACCTCTTAGGAAGTGTTCACAATCAACAGTTAAAAAATCATTTTATACATCTCCAGTCTGCCACATCATCACATGAATACATCATACATGTTAGCAGATGATTAGACATCCTTGGCTCCAGCATTATCAAAATATTACTCTTTGTTCTTAGCTAAAGGACACCGCACTCATTCCATTCCCAAATGTTTGCCACGTACAGAATGAAGATTATAACTGTATATCCGGACAGAAGAACTGTCTTAATTAGATTAACTATTGTGGACAACATCACTTCTGACACACAACAGGCGGCTAATATTAAGGTGTAAAAAACTCATACATCATCACTGATAATTATCCCAACTTCCCAACACACGATGACCAACCTTTATAAGACTGATGGCTACCTAATGGGGACTGAGTCATAGGATGGGCTACCAATACTGACCTTTGAACTGGAGTCAGTGTTCACCTAAACTTCATAGATAATAAACATATTTCTCTTGTTTGTTTTCAGTTCTGATTGGCTTTTAGATATTTTATTTTCGAAATACGTATAAATGCTTAAATGTTCTAAATTATTGATATGATGAAATGCTCTATAAATGACAAAACAATAAGAGCAGCTGCATAAAATAAAATTTTAAACTTAGTCCACTGATGAGGTCTTTTTTTAGAAGATGCTGAGGGCCACCCATGTAGTCCTTGAGGGCCCTTTGGTGCCCAGAGGTGGTGACCCTTGATATAGAGTAACCAGTGTGTATTTTCCAGATTTCATTTCATTTCATTTATTGTTTATTTGAAAGGGGACAGTGTACATTAATAAACATTAAAACAATGTAAATATACCCGAGTTAGCTAAGGAGTGCTAATTTTCATCGGTAGTCCCCCAGCCAGATATTAAAAAGGCAACCTTAAAAATAAACACAAGTATAAAATCACAAGATTAAATTACAATACCAATTACATAAAAACATTATGGTTAAGAAGTAAAATGTATGTAAAATTATTAAAAATATATTGTAAAATTATTTAAATACACACTAAAAACCTTAGTGCCCACAAATTTGGCTCTCTACAAGCCATTTTTTTGCATTCTTTTTGAATGAAGAGAATGACAAAGAGTCTCTGATGGTTTCTGGCACTGTGTTCCATTGTTGAGATGCTCTTACAGAGAAAACAGCCTGACCAAAGGCTGTTTTTCTCCGGGGGATGATGCAGTCTTCCCTCACTGCCCCTCTGGTTACCCTGACATCACTGGATCTGAACTGTACAAAGTCACATAGTGGAGGTGGTGCTAAACCATGTCTGATTTTATAAATTAAACAGATGTTTTTGAATTTGATAAGATTGTTCCAGGTAAGTAACTGATATTTCCTCAGAATACTACAGTGGTGGTAGTGGTAAGGTTTTTTATCCAGTATTTTTAATGCTTGTTTATATAATGTTTCTAATGGTTTTATTGTAGTAGAGTGAGTATTGGACCAACTTATTATACAATATGTTATATGGGATAAAATCATGGAGAAAAAATATGATTTAGCAGCTTCAGTTGAAAGAAAATCTCTAATGAATCTGAAGTTTGCTAAACTAAACTTAATCCTATTACGAACTTTTTGGATATGAGTTTTGAAATTGAGATGCGAATCTGTATGTACACCTAAATATTTATATTCAGATGTTGGAGAGTGTGGAGGTAAACTGTCCGAAGGCCAGAAGCAGAGCATTGCCATCATCAGAGCGCTGCTTAGAGACCCCCAGGTCATCATCCTGGATGAGGCTACAAGCAAACTGGATGTTGATGCAGAGAGGGCGGTGAGTAAGACGCTTGATAGGGTTTGTTTCTATAGATCAGATGGTCTTTACGGCACAGGATCACAAGAAGTTTAGGATTTAGTTTCAATGGTTTCCAGGTCTGGAAAGAGAAGTAGGGAATGTGGTGAAATATTCCAAATATTTTAGACCCTTTTTAATTAGTTTAGAAAATAAAACATGATTTAGTCTAAACATAAATGTGTAAATGTTATGTTTTTCTTGCCTTTGACAGCCGTTTTTGTGAAAGTTCATTAACCAGGTTAATGAGAATTGATTCATGTTCACCACTCGAGATTAAAAAGTAGAAAATCTATGATCATGTAACAATGGGTAAAATTTCTAACCTAATGACCCCTACATCAAAAATCCAGAAGGGAACCAACGAGCTTCACAAAAAGCAACCTGAGGAACATCTGTGATTCCTCCAAAATGTACAATCACCAACAATTGACCTCGGCTCAGACCTGCATGTTGTTATTTGACAGGTTCTGGATGAGGTTCTGAATCGTGGACGGACCATCCTGATGGTGGCTCATCAGCTCAGGATTGTGGAAAAGGCAGATCACATCATCTTCATGGAGGACGGATCAGTCAGGGAGGAGGGGACCCACCAGGAGCTCATGAAGAAAAAAGGAGGCTACTTTCGTTTAAAGGAGGAGCTGTTTTCTGAAAGCAGATGAAGAAAGTTGTTTAAATATGAAAAAATATGCAAGAAAGTGTGTCCCAGTTTTCTAATTGAAAAAGATTGATTGAAATTTTTTTTTATTTTCATAATAAAGCTGCATTTTTTGACTTTACAAATCAAATTAAAAATAAATCATCTTAAATCCATTTTCCTTAATTTATTAATTTAAATGATAATTAAAAAAACATTTTCCTGAGAAAAATGTGACAAGAATTTATTTTAAAATGACTAAATTGAGAATTTAAACATATTAATAGAATTTTTTTTTTATTATTTCAAAGGCAGAGCTGCATTTTTGACAAAGAAAATTTCTAATTGTAACAATTTTGAATTTTGGTCAATTTATGGTGGTATATATTTAAATGTTAAATATAACTTTCTTAATCATTTTTGATTAAGTAACAAAATAAGCAGTCTTGAGAAATTTAATTGAAGGGTAGATTTAATATTCTATCACATATTTTATTCATGAGTCAAAAAAAATGTAGTCATGACTTTTGAATAAAAAAAAACATCTGTTAATTAATCTTAATTTCAGATTTTTTCATTTTAAAGTATATTGTGGTCACATTTTGCTGGGAATGTGATGAAATTTTAATGTAAAACGTAGTTTGTAGTTTTGATTCACAAACTGACCAATCTTGGAGAAGAAATCAGAAAATTCAGTTTGGATTATTGATTTATAATTTTATTTATAAGTGGCAGTATATGCAGCTTCCTTTTGAAAATGAAAAATCATTTCTATCAACCCTTTTTAGTATAGAAATCGGTGCACATTTGCTTTCATATGGAAATTCTAAAAAGCAGCTGCTGTAGCTTTGAAACAGCTTGGTTGATTGTATATAATGAGTGAAACAGAAAAGCAGAAGGTGGGATGGGGACATTTGATGAGTGTTTTGTTTCAGTAAAATTGTTTTCTGTATAAAAAAACAAAAAATGTTTTATGTTTTCTCAAATTTCTATACACTGTTAAGCTCTATATAATTCTCATTCATGCACAGCGAACGCTAATATGTACATATACTTGGGTTTACTTCTAAATTTCTCATCTGTTCCTGCAGAATATCATCATTTCATTTTAAAATTATTACCAGATTGAAATTATCACTGGTAGATTCTCTATACCTCATATAAACTGTGGAATGTACAGTGGCTTCCATAAACATTCATCATACCTCATGTTTGTTTTTTTTTTACATTTGATCTTGTTACAAACAAAGAACTTTTTTTTTATCAGGAGGCAAAAATGTGAGCAGAACATGATATTTTTCCAAATAAAAACCAGAATCCTGCCTTTGAATTCAGCCTTGCTGTGTCACTATGCTGTCTTTACCTGCTTTGCACATCCACATAATGACTTTTTTTGTTGCTTATTTTCTAAATCGCTGAAGCTCATTCAGATTAGGTAGGTTATCTGCAAACGGTAACTTTCAAATCTTACAAAGGATTTTCACTTGGATTAACGTTTTCACTTTATGCAGTCCCTGCCCATGATGAAGAGGATATAAACCCCAGTTCACCAGAGGTGTAGCAAGACAATTTTTATAAGGGTGGCCAGGCAATAACCAGTGTACACTGAGGTGGCTGAAAGTGAATAGGCGCCAGAACCTCAAGGTTAAGCCTAAGATAAGACTAACTATACTTTCCTAAACCTTTGCTAACAAATAGACGCATATATTTAAACATCTGTGCTTTACTGTCACATGCTGGAGCAGTGGGCTGAGGGTCGCTGACAACAGACTGAACAAACTGATCAGGAGGGCCGGTGAAGTTGTGGGGGAGCAACTGGACACTCTGACGAGCGTGGCAGAGAGGAGGATGCTGTCCAGGTTTCAGTCCATATTAGACAATGACTCACATCCTCTCCATGACACACTGGTTCAGCAGACGAGCTCCTTCAGCAGAAGACTCCTCCTACCCAGATGCACCACAGAGCGCCACAGGAAATCATTCCTACCTGTGGTCATCAATCTCTATAACACCTCCCTCAAGTGATTCAAACCCCCCCCTCCTGTAATTGACATTTATGCACTATTTTTGCACGCCACTTATCACTTTACTTGGATTTATCACTTTAGTTGGATTTAGTTTTTACATATGCATACATATATATATATATATATA